ATTTTCAAACCAGTATATACAGTGTGAAGACCTGGATGTAGTGACCCACTTGGATCCAACTTAGTTTTCTTTTGAAGAGTTTAGAAGTTCATGTGTGTCTTTCCTTTGATCTAACGTGAAATAAACCCAGACCCACTTCACAATCGTTGATGGTCATTTCTATGCATTTGGACTGGTTGCCCATGGTGATAACAACTTCATCTCACCTTCGAACTTGCTATTTAACACTGACACATAGTACAATGAACCTGGGTCTGGTTGAAAACAGCTACTATATCCTTTACACCTACATCAGGAAAGCTGGATGACTGTCATGGATATGGATCCACATGAAAGGGGCATCAGTTAATGAAAATGGTGATATATATAACAGTTGTACAGTTGTGGACAGGTAGGAACATGAGTGACTGATTTGAAGGACATAAACATCCTTACCAGGAGTTATCTGAGTGTGTGTGGGGCTGGAGAAAGCGGCAGAGTTGAGAGTTGGAGGTTGGCGACTGTTGGCTGACGATTGATGATGGTGATGAGGAGGTGTCACCCTCATGGAGCTCCTTCTCAGCTGTTCCAGTTCTGTTAGCCTCTCAGAGAAAGCCAGGGAGCCTGGTTTGACTTCGTCCATCTTCTGACGATGACCTGAGGCAGAAAGTTAAGAGGAAATAGTTAGAATTTCAAGTATCACTCCTGAGCTCAAAATTCCTGAAATTTATTGAGTTGTCAGCAAAGCACTCCATGCTTGTGATGTGATTACACTGTGTGTGTGTCTGGCTGCACTTTAAAGCTCTGATACTGAGCTCCAGTTACAGGCACTTCCTCACAACAAGGGAAGTGTGCATTTGTGTATTTATACTGTGTGTGCATGGGCGAGTTATAGACGAGTGATGGGTATTCACAGCTAAGCAGATTTGACAAGTGCTCCTGTTGTTTGGTTACTTCTCCTCTTGTTCTGACCAGTATCACTTTGTTCATGTTATATGGAAGTGGACTAATGTTATTTTAATGACACTTATTAGCATTCATTAGAAGAAACACGTCTATCTTCTTTCTTCTCCCATTCGTAAGCCTAAAGAAACCCCCATGTTTCATCATACTCAGTGGGAGAGGAAGTAAGTGTTGCATCAGGTTCCCCTTATGAAAACACTCAATTGAAAGTTTGTCTGCAGGGGTGCTTCTTCACTGAGTATACAGTTCACAAAATAAAATAAAATTGATGAAATAATGACATTAAATAAAACATATTATCCTAAGAAATTGTTAATAATATTATTATAATTCAAAGTGTTTATCGTCATGTGTACAGAAGAAATAGCATTTCTCTGTGCAATGAAATCCTTCCTTTGCTGTCCATACACAAATGCCAAGTAGGTAGGGTTGGAGGAACAAGATAAGCAAGGATAACAATAAGACAAGATATTAGATATATAAAGATAAAAATAAGGATAAAAATAGTGAAAGATAAATAAGTACAAAAATAAGTAAGTGAAGACAAGTGAGGTATGCAGATGTAAATGTAAATGGATGTACAAAGGAGC